ATTTCAACTTAATATCATTATCCACACTTTTTTATTGTGCATATCACATAATTCAATGAAAGTATTAAGATGGATGCAGCATCCATATTAGGATTTCCAGAAAATTGTTCTTTCATAACAAGATTTAGCAAAATAGCATTAATATCATAAGACTCCATACTAGTAGCTGGAGGAGTGATTGGAGTACTAATAAAATCATTATTATTAGTGTTTGAAAAATCACACAACTTGGTGTTTTCTTGAGACGTAGCGACAAAGCTAGCAAATGAGCGAAGCAACAAAATAAAATATTTTTTGTGTTTTTGTTTTTTATGAGAAGTGGGGGAGATGAAAAAGAGAGGCAAATAAAAAGTAGAGCAAGTAGATGATAGTTTGTGTGAAGGTACTTGATAGGTCTTGATGATGTCTCCCCGGCAATGGCGCCATAAATTCTTCCTGCTACTTGTGAGCTCCGTTGGGATTTTCCCCAAAGAGGAGAGGAGATGCAGTATAGTAGAGATAAGCATTTCCCTCAGTGAGAAGCAAGGTTTATCGACCCAATAGGAGAATCATGTAAAGCCTCGTGAACAACACATGCACACACAGAAGCAAATACTCTCACCCAAGGCAGGCAAGAGGGTTGTCAATCCCCTTGAACTTGTCACTTGCAAGGATCAAATCTTGTATAGGTAGATAGATAAATTGCAAAATAAAATAAAACTAAATAAATCTCAGCAAGGTATTTTTGGATTTATAATATGATTAAAGTAGACCCGGGGCCATAGTTTTCAATAGAGGCTTCTCTCTCAAACACATAGCATACGGTCGGTAGACAAATTACTGTTGGGCAATTGATAGAAAAGCGCATAGTTATGACGATCCATGGCAATGGTCTACATATAGACATCACGTCCGTGACAAGTAGACCGACTCTTTCCTGCATCTACTACATTTACTCCACTAATCGACCGCTATCTATCATGCATCTATGGTATTAAGTTCATGACAAACAGAGTAACGCTTTAATCAAGATGACATGATGTAGACAAAGTAAACCCAATAAATATGAATAAACCCTGTTGTTTTATCCTTAGTAACAACAATACAATACATGCCTCGCTACCCCTTTTGTAATTGGGTGAGGACACCACAAGATTGAACCCACAACAAGGCACCTCTCCCACTAAAGGTACATCAATCTAGTTGGCCAAACCAACCAGATAGGTCGGAGAGAAATACAAAGCTACAACAATCATGCATAATAAAGTTCGGAAAAGACTCAGTTACTTTCAATGAATAATCTGATCATAAACCCATAATTCATCGAATCCCAACAAACAAACCGCATAAGAAGATTACATCGGATAGAACTCCAAGAAGATCAAGGAGAACATTGTATCGAAGATCAAAGAGAGAGAAGAAGCCATCTAGATACTAGCTATGGACCCGTAGGTATGTGGTGAACTACACACGCATCATCGGAAGACAACAAGGATGATGTAGAAGCACTCCGTGATCGATTCCCCCTTCGGCAGAGTATCGGAAAAGGCCTCCAGATGGGATCGCAGAAGAACAGAAGCTTGCGGTGGCAGAAAAAGTGTTTCAGGTGGCTCCGTGGGGGTTTCCCAATATTTGAGAATTTATAGAAGTGGAATTAGATCATACGGAGCCTTGTGGGGCTCACCAGGTAACAGGGCACGCCCTGTTGTCTTGTCGTTTCCTTGTTTGTCCTCTGGACTCCTCCCAAAGCTTCTAGGGTCTCTTATGTCCAGAAAAATCGTCAAAAGTTTTGTAACGTTTGGACTCCATTGGTACTGATTTTTTGGAAAACAAGAACACGCAAAAAACGACAACTGGCACTAGGCACTAGGTTAATAGGTTAGTTCCCAAAAATGATATAAAATAGCATGAAAATGCATATAAAGTATCCAAGATTGATAATATAATAGCATGAAACAATTAAAAATTATAGATACATTGGAGACGTATCACTCCACCTCTGGACCCCTTTAGCTAGCACTTGCTCCAAGTATGATGTCTCCATGAGGGTGAGCAGAGCCAGACGCCACCATCGCCTGATCCGGAAGGCTGAGATCAAGGGTATACCTCGAAGCAAATGAACCTTCCAGCCAAGTCCCCGTGGTGGTCGAACACCTCCACGCCTCTGAGATCCCATTGGTGAAGCTCCAAAATAGTGCCTCGAAGGAGGTAAACGACACCACATGCCACCACCGTCCAGTCTGGCAAGCCAAACCTGAGGTTTCCCTTGGAGCTCAACGAGACCACGACCATGAAGATGCCCTCCAAGGAGGTTAGTGGCGCCCACAAACATCATCTACAGTGATGGATCCATGCAAGGGAGCTTTGAGCATCTTAGTTACAGCAGTGTAGGATAATAATTGAATGCTTCATGCATTTTCCCGAAACTAAACCTCGACAGCCAGCTAATCTATCACACACACTCAGCTAATGCAAGAATAACTAAGTTATGAGTTTTTAATCTCATTTTCTCTATACTTCAACCCATACTCACCCTAGTCTCTTCAGATTGTGAATGGTACAAAAACAACACACATATTTTGACCTCCGCATAGGAGATTGTCGGGACTCGGAGTAGGAAAACTCACTGGAGTGTAGTTGCATGTAAAGTGGATGGTATTTTAAAGATGAATTTCCGGCATGTGGCCTTATACGGAACTGTTGAAGAGGTTGGATGGCGTGGAGGCGGCGATGGATAAGCAAGATGGCACATGAAGAGCTCCGCCAAGGCTGACACAGTCTTTTAGTACAAGTTTAGCCTAGTCTTCCATGAGATCTAACTGATGCTAGGATGACGACAAGGTACCAGATCTTGGTGATAGGGTGGGAAAGGAGAATCTAGGCGGAGGGGAGGGTTCGAGCTCGTGGGGTGGCAGCAGGGTGTGAGGATAATGGTGTGACGTAGAGGTTGGCTGGAGAGAATTGTAAGGGCACCTTGAAAGCTATCAAACGACAAGAGTTGCACATGAGGGCGAGATGTGTCCAATCATATGTCTATGGACATGTACAGATGTGTCTGCGGACATTTGGGGGCATCAATGTGCCCTTTGACATCCATTTTAGATAGTGAATGTTTCCCTTTCTTTACCCGAGGAGTGCCCTGAATTATCAACCCCGCGAGAGGATGTGCACTACGACATAGGCTCTACCAAGTCTTTGCGAGAGAATGAAATTTTAGTTTTGTAAACGGACCTTCATAACCTTAGGGGTGTAAGCACTTAGAATTAAAACAGGTGTGGGTATGAGGACTTGATTTTTACAACCATATATTTCCCCTAGGAACCACCATGATCTTAATTTGTCCTGACACTCATTAAGATGTAAGTACAACAAGATGAAGTTGGGGATGTGTCCAAATTACATCCTGACCATCCTACGACCTGCATCAAGAGTCAGTTTCCCAACCGTGGGCCCTTACCATCGCACGGGGTTTCCTTGGTTATTAAGAAGCTCTGGTGGTTAAGAATATAATTTGGACAAAAGCATTGGGTATTTAATCACTATAATTCATGTATCCCCAAGGATTGGATTTCCGCTACAGTACTAAACCTTTCTATCACTGGTTTTCAGAATAGCATTCCGCATCCTCCCTGCTCCTAACCTCCTCCTTCATTGATCTCCAAGATCTTGGGTACCAACAGGGTCATAGAACGAGAAAGAGACACGAGACAAGTACATAGTAATTCTAACACATACATGGCATTAATTCAAAGTCATTCCATCGATCCCTCATAAAAATTCATAAGGTTGCATGGCTATGCCTCAACCTATTGCCTTACCGAATTACCCACACATGGTGATCGGATCGCAAGAAGAAATCATTGGAGAAGACATAAAGATGAATGCTTTATTGAGAATATGTCTTATAATGGTTGCCGAATGTGACACATGATTACAAGTATGGCTAAATTGGAGGAGAGTTGCTGCAGTTATGGCGATGGTGATGGTGATGGTGGTGGTTATAGAGATGAGATGGAAAATGGCGGCGCCAAGGGTTAGAATATGGCTTCCAGTTCGCGAATGGTCTTCTCGATGCTCCTTTGTTACGATTCTGGTGTTGGCCCCTTTATAATAGTTTGAGGGTAGGACCTTACAAAACCACTAGCGTGTCATATGACTGTTGGTACTAGCGTGTACCAGATGTCGTCTTGCACTTCGACTTGATCATTGCGCCTCTAATTGCCTTCCTTCTTTCTCCATGTTCTTATTTACTTCTAAAATATGATTTACCTCCATATTTGGCCTCTTTACCCATGAAAACAAATTAAAGAAAGTATTTACGTTCTCTCACATTCATTAGTCATTAGTAGCGATATCAGAGTGATTTTGTTAGATTTTCTATGATTATCCGGTTTAAACAAGGCTGTGATGAGCGCAAAAATATCATTGATCGGGCATCCATTTGTTGATTGTCATTGGAGATGCCCTAAGCTTCATGGTGGCAAAATAGTGTGGCGTGAGTGGTGGCTTCATGGTGGAGAATTAGGGATTTTGATGTATTATTGTTGTGGGGAAAGATTAGCAAGCTTCACTGACTGGGCCAAAATTTGGCGTTTAAGTCTCTTACTCTACGTGCATTAGCCCATTTAACCACAAGCGGCTGGTAGGTGTTATTTTCTAACCAAAGTTTCAATTGGTATATAAGCATTCCTGATTGGCCGCTCGATAGCAAATATGTATGCATTCCCGATCGACATTTTGTCAATGTACATAGGTTTTCCTGACCAACTATCGTGAATTTTCTCGTCCAATGGTTGGTCAGTGATATAAACACTTTTCCTAGCACAGGTTAGTAGGGGATACATTACGGTGGTGTGGTTGAACTTCATATGAACTAAAGTAACAGAATTTGCATAGTGGACCATATGATGTATTAAAGAAATCACAATAGTTCATATCTTTGTGCTTAGGAATATGTGATATGGATGTGTTATCATCATAACATTTTAATACTAAATATTTTGAAACTTTCCATTTTGTAGGTTTCAAGGAGGTAACTGAGGGGTGTTGTGGCAGCAATGTGCTAAATGCGGCAATATTCATTCAATACCACCCTGCATGTCCAAACGCTTATGACTATATTTTTTGGGATAGCTTTCATTGTACTGAAAAGGCCTACAACATTGTGATTGATGAGATCTTCCAGCAAAACCTACACTACCTAATGTGAAGACACTCTCATCCTCTCTACCTAAGTTTGAACAAATATAGCAAGTAAAACTTTTCTCCTTCCACAATGTGTGAATGTTGGCACTATGACATATATGAAAGATGCCCCTTTCAATTCTATCTTTGTATCTCCATATAATTTACCCCAAAACGTATTTGTGCAATAAAAATTCCACCAAATTGATCACATTTATATGCATTAATGTGGGTGTCGATGTGCATATTATAGCAATTAAGTTCATACTCGGGATTTGATCAACAAGAGGAGTTAGAGTTGCGAGCGGGAAGCCTTTCTAGTTGTTGTAGAGGAAAATTAAACAAAATGGTAGTGACATCTTCCCATTGTGTTTCCATGTTGTTAGAGTGTCTTAGAAACCCTAACTATAATCTTTTTTCTTGATAAAGTGCACTTCTAATAACTCGAGATGTATCATGAAGCAGATACAAGCATGATGAGCAACACCTTTCCGCTACATAACAAAGATGAACACAACCAACACGAAGAGTATGACAAAGTAAGAATGACATATTGGCAATAGTAAAGTCATATGAGATTGAAACTATGCCTATGTCGAAAGAGTTGGTGGACCAATCTGGAGATTATGCCGCCACCCATGTTGGGTAAAAACCTCCATGGCCACCCGTTCCAACCACATACACACTGCCTTTAGCAGTGGTTAGTACTCTATTTGATGTAGCATAGACCACATATGCATACGAAGAGATTTTTCCATCAAGTAGAATATCATTTCTACATATCCAAAGCGACCATAGTAAGGTAGACGCTCCCATCCTTATTACCGTACTAAATTTTTTTGGTATTCTGTCAATCTAATGAGCATCTATATAGGCAACACTTGTGGAGGGATGCAAAGTGGATGCTATTTGGATGACTAACCACGTAGAACGCACAAACTTGCATGAGAAGAAGAGGTGTTTGATTGTATCTCGTGACTATAAAAGCAAAACTTTTTGCTTTCTTGCCAGTTGCGGCGAGCGAGGTTGTCTTTAGTTAGCAAAATTCCCCTTCGAATATACCACATGAAAATCTTAAGTTTAGTGGTATGTTCGATTTCCATATTTATTTTTTATTGTCTGATGGAATCTTTGAGTTGAGATTTCACGGTACATAGACTGGACTACAAAGGGCCCATTAGTAGTTAGATCCAGCTAAACACTTTTCGTCCATGTGTTAGGTAAATCAAATCCAATTGGGGTAGAAGATTTTGCCATGACACAAGAAGGGGGCGATCAAATCCCACCTAAAGGATATATCATGTGGGGAGGAGCTAAGCCCTGTGCAAGAGTATCATTCTTATCATGTACCATGTGGTAAAAGGTCGGGTACTATTTAGGGAGAGTGTTATTTCCAAGCCACTTGTCCTCCTAGGAACGTATCTCAGAGCCATCCTTTACCCCAAAAGATCCAAAGAGGAAATGATGTTTCTTTGCCACCATCAAACTAGCCCGAAAATGCGAGTCTTGTAGGCTTCCAATGTGTGCATGACACAATATTTTAGCCTAGATACTTATTGTGTAGCAAGGTTTGCCAAACGCCGTCATCGGTAAGTAGCTTGACCAACCATTTACTAAGTAAGGCATCATTCTTGACCTCGAGGCCCTGAATGTCTAAACCTCCTTGGTCTTTAGGTCGATAAACCACACTCCCTTTGGTTAGCCTATACCTTTTCTTTTCACTGTCTCCTTGCCAGAATAATCTAGATCAAAAATAATATAGCCTTTGCATGACCCCTTTTGGAAGTTGGAAAAATGAGAGCATATAGAGAACCATGTTTGTGGGAACATAATTGATCAAAACCATCCATCCTCCAATGGAGAGAAACTTGACTTTCCAACTACTTAATCTTTCTCTAAGCGCTCTTCGACCTGTTTCCACTCAACATTAGTGAGACGCTGATAATGAATCAGAATTCCTAGATATTTAACCGGGGAATTGTCCTTGTGGACAACCAAATAGTTTGGTGTATTGTGCAGTTACTTCTTTGGTTTCCCCGAAATAGAATAATTCACTTTTATGGGAGTTAATTTTAAGGCTTGACATTTGCTAAAAATCTATAAGTAAGAGTTTCAAATATCTAACCTTATCCACGTCATGTTCCATAAAAGAATCGTATGATCAGCGTGTTAGAAGATAGAGAACTGATGTCTACTACACAACCTTCTTCTCGTAGATGTTGTTGGGCCTGCAAGTGCACAGGTTTGTAGGACAGTAGCAAATTTCCCTCAAGTGGATGACCTAAGGTTTATCAATCCGTGGGAGGCGTAGGATGAAGATGGTCTCTCTCAAACAACCCTGCAACCAAATAACAGAAAGTCTCTTCTGTCCCCAACACACCCAATACAATGGTAAATTGTATAGGTGCACTAGTTCGGCGAAGAGATGGTGATACAAGTGCAATATAGATAGTAGATATAGGTTTTTCTAATCTGAAAATATAAAACAGCAAGGTAACTAATGTTAAAAGTGAGCGTATACGGTACTGCAATGATAGGAAACAAGGCCTAGGGTTCATACTTTCACTAGTGCAAGTTCTCTCAAAAATAATAACATAGATAGATCATATAACAATCCCTCAACATGCAACAAAGAGTCACTCCAAAGCCACTAATAGCGGAGAACAAACGAAGAGATTATGGTAGGGTACGAAACCACCTCAAAGTTATTCTTTCAGATCGATCTATTAAAGAGTTTGTACTAGAATAACACCTTAAGACACAAATCAACCAAAACCCTAATGTAACCTAGATACTCCATTGTCACCTCAAGTATCCGTGGGCATGATTATATGATATGCATCACACAATCTCAGATTCATCCAACCAACACAAAGTACTTCCAAGAGTGTCCCAAAGTTTCTACCGGAGAGTCAAGAAAACGTGTGCCAACCCCTATGCATAGGTTCATGAGCGGAACCCGCAAGTTGGTCACCAAAACATACATCAAGTGGCACATGATATCCCATTGTCACCACAGATAAACACAGCAAGACATACATCAAGTGTTCTCAAATAAAAGACTCAATCCGATAAGATAACTTCAAGGGGGGAACTCAATTCATCACAAGAGAGTAGAGGGGGAGAAACATCATAAGATCCAACTATAATAGCAAAGCTCGCGATACATAAAGATCGTGCCATAGAGGGAACACGAGAGAGAACACGAGAGAGAGAGAGAGAGATCAAACACATATCTACTGGTACATACCCTCAACCCCGAGGGTGAACTACTCCCTCCTCGTCATGGATAGCGCCGGGATGATAAAGATGGCCACCGGTGATGGGTTCCCCCTCCGGCAGGGTGCCGGAACGGACTCCTGAGAGGTTTTTCGTGTCTACAGAGGCTTGCGGCAGCGGAACTCCCGATATATCTTGATATTCGATGTTTTTAGGGTACGTAGGCTTATATAGGCGAAAGAAGTTGGTCGGGAGGTGCTCGAGGGGCCCACGAGACAGGGGGCGCGCCCCACAGGGGGGAGGAGCCTCCTATCTTGTGGCTGCCTCGAGGATCTTCTGACGTGAACTCCAAGTCTCCAGGATCATATTCTTCCAAAAAATCACGCTGCCAAAGGTTTCATTCCGTTTGGACTCCGTTTGATATTCCTTTTCCTCGAAATACTGAAACAGGCAATAAAACAACAATATGGGTTGGGCCTCCGGTTAATAGGTTAGTCCCAAAAGTAATATAAAAGTGTATAATAAAGCCCGTAATCATTCAAAACAGATAATAAAGAAGCATGAATGCTTCATAAATTATAGATACGTTAGAGACGTATCATCATCCCCAAGCTTAATTCCTACTCGTCCTCGAGTAGGTAAATGATAAAAGAAAGAATTTATGAAGTGTGAATGCTAGAAGGTGCACAAGTTTGATCATTGATAATTTCAATCACCTTTTCTAGCATGATAATAAGTGTCATAACAGTAGTTCATCTCATAAAACTTCTCACGATAAAGTAACAAGCAATTCACATGTCAAAGCATAGACCATAAACTTTCTTGAAAACTAGCAAATTTCATTCTCAATCATCAAACAATTGCAATTCATCTTATTTTCAGGAATAGCAAACTCCACATACTCAACTATCATATAGTCTTCTACAATTGCTAACACTCACGCAATACTAATGGTTATGGAGTTTCAATCAGACACTGAGAAAGATAGGGGCTTATAGTGTTGCCTCCCAACGTATTCACCTTTGGGTGATGTCAACAATAATAGTTCATGCTAACTTACATCCAATTGGATATATATATCAGGATCACCCCAACACAAAGTGCTTGCCAAAGGATAAAATGAAAAAGGGAAAGGTGAAGATCACCTCGACTCTTGCATAAAGTTAAAGACATAAAGTAAAAGATAGGCCCTTCATAGAGGGAAGCAGAGGTTGTCATCCACTTTTAGGGTTGGATACACAAAATCTTAATGCGAAAGAACGTCACTTTATATATCCCCTTGTATATGGACCTTTATTATGATGTCCGTCGCTTTTATTGCTTCCATAACAAGATCGTACAAAGCTTATTTTCTCCGCACTAATAAGTCATGCATATTTAGAGAGAAATTTTTATTGCTTGCACCGATGACAACTTACTTGAAGGATCTTACTCAATCCATAGGTAGGTATGGTGGACTCTCATGGCAAAATTGGGTTTAAGGATGTTTGGAAGCACAAGTAGTATCTCTACTTGGTGCAAGGAATTTTGGCTAGCATGAGGGGGAAAGGCAAGCTCAACATGTTTGAATGATCCATGACAATATACTTTAATTGAGATGTCAGAAAATATAAACCATTACATTGTCTTCCTTGTCCAACATCAACTCTTTAGCATGTCATACTTAATGAGTGCTCGCAATTATAAAAGATGTCTAGGATAGTGTATTTATATATGAAATCTCTCTTCCTTCAATATTATTACATGAATTGTTCAAATGACCAATACAACGTTTGCTAACCTTCAATAAATTTACAACCTCTACTT